CATTTTGATGAAGAGAAATGAGTTGCTTATGTGCTCTGGGCTCTTTAGTGAGAATATCAGAGCTCCTTTAAGAGTAACGTGTTAGTGGAACCCTTGTAGTGTTAGCAGACTATGACTTTGAACTTTGTCCATGAAAATAATGTCTTTAGGCCAGCCCGGTGGCGCACTGCTATAGTGCGCTGCTTGGGAAGCCCGGCGTCACTCCCGCTGAGGGTTCGAGGGTTCGGATCCCACATGCAGACCGGTTCCCGCTCACTGGCTGAGCGAGGCGCGGGAGCAACACCGAGGGCTGCGATCCCGTTGCCGGTCCCGGTCCGGTGCGGGGGCGACACTGAGGGTTGCGATCCGTTGCCAGACACGGAAAAAGGAAAAAAAAAAAAATCAGTCATGGGGGCCGGCCTGGTGGCACACTGGAGAGTGCGGGGGGCAACACTGAGGGTTGCGATCCGTTGCCGGACACGGAAAAAGGAAAAAAAAAAAAATCAGTCATGGGGGCCGGCCTGGTGGCGCACTGGAGAGTGCACCGCTTGGGAGTGCGGCGGCGCTCCCACAGAGGGTTTGGATCCCATGTGGAGACCGGTTCCAGCTCACTGGCTGAGCGCGGTGCCGGCACAACACCGAGGGTTGCGATCCCGTTACCGGTCAGTAAAAAAGACAAAAAGGAAAAAAAAAATCAGTCATGGAACTACAAATTCTGTGGGGCTCTTTCTGGGTTTCTAGTCTGTTCAATTAACCTATGTGTCTTCATCTTCACCAATACTACACAATTTTGATTACTATATATTAGTTTATTTATTTATTTATTTTTGGCAGCTGGTCGGTATGGGATCCAAACCCTTGACCTTGGTGTTATAACACCACGCTCTAACCAACTGAGCTAACTGGCAAGCCCTGTATATTACTTTATAAAAAAATCAGAGTCATTCCTCTCCCTTTTATTCTTCTTTTTCAGAAATGTTTTCTATTCTACTTTTGTCTTTCCATGTAAATTTTAGAATAATCTTATCTATATCTATAAAAAATCTTGCTAGGATTTTGATAGTAATTGCATCAAATCTCCACATGTATCCATTTGGGGAGAATTGACATCTTTACTATGTTTTGTCTTCCAGTCCATGAGTATGGTATGTTTCTTATTTAGGTCTTCTCTGAGTTTTGTCAGCAGTGTTTTGTAGGTTTCAATGTGCACGTCTTATATATGTTTTGTTAGATTTACATCTAAGTATTTTGGGGGGGGACCATTGTAAATTTTAAACACCTATGGAGCATATATCAAGGTAAGCCACATGCAGGGCTATAAATTTCCCTCTCATGCTTTAGTTGTGCTCCACAAAATCTGAGAAGTTCTATTTTCATTTTCATTTAGTTCAATGTATTTTTAAATTTCCCTTGAGACTTCCTCTTTGACCCATGGATTACTTATAAACATGTTGTTTAGTTTCCAACTATTTGAAGATTTTTCTGTTATCTTTTTTTTATTGATATCTAGCTTGATTCCATTGCGGTTAGAGAACATACTCTGTATGATTTTGATTATTTCAAATTTTTTGAAGCTTGTTTTATGTCCCTGCATGTGGTTTAGATTGGTATATGTTCTATAGGTGTTTTTTAAAGTGTGTATTATGTGTATAATAAAATGTCAATTAGATCCTGTTGATTGATGGTGTTTTTGAGGTCTTATATAAACTTGCTAATTTTCTGCCTAGTTGTTATTTCAGTTGTTGAGAGAGGGATGTTGAAATTTCTAACTAAAAATGTGAATTTGTCTAGTTCTAATTTCTATTGGTTTTTGCTTCACATATTTTGTAGCTCTGTTGTTTGGTTCATACATAATTAGGACTGTTATGTCTTCTTGGTAAATTGACCCTTTCCACATTACATAATGTCACTCTCTGGCCTTTCTTTGCTTTAATTCTACTTTATCTGTAACTAATATAGGCACTTCTACTTTCTTTTGACTAATGTTTACATGGTATATCCTTTTCCGTTATTTTACTTTCAACTTACCTATATCACTATATTTAAAGTTATTTTCTTATAGACAGCATATAGTTGGGTCATGTTTTTTTATCTACTCTGTCAATCTGTCTTTAAATTTGTGTATTTAGACTGTTTATATATAATGTAATTACTTACATGCTAAGGCTTAAGTCTGCCATTTCTTTTTTTTTTCTCTTTATTCTCTCTGATTTTAATTTACATTTTCTTTTTCCTACACTTCTGTTTGTTCCTTGAACAGATTTTTAGAATTACATTTTGATTTATCTATAGTGTTTTTGAGTATATCTTTGTATAGCTTTTTTACTGGTTTCTCTAGGTATTACATTATACATAACTTATCAAAGTCTACTGGCTTTATCATTTTAACAGTTCAAGTGAAGTATAGAAACCTTACCTCTCTTTAAATCTCTTTATCCTCTACCATTTATACTATAATTGCCTTAAATATTTCCTCTACAAACATTAAGAACAGAATTAGGACAGTGTCATAGTTTTTGCTTTGACTGTCAAACATAATTTATAAAATTCAAGAGAAGAAGAAAAGTCTATTGTATTTACCTGTAGGTTTGCTCTTTCAGAGTTCTTTCTTCCTTCCTGATGTTCCAAGATTCCTTTAAAATAATCATTTTCTGTATATTTATAAAATTCCCTTTAGCTCTTCTTTTAGGGTAAGTCTCTGTTGGATAAAAATTCTCTTAGTTTTCCTTCATCTGAGAATGTCTTTATTTCCCCTTCACTCCTGAAGGATATTTTCACTAGATAAAAAGGATTTTAGGCTGATGGTTCTTTCCTTTCAGCACCTGAAAAATACTGTGTCGCCTCCTGATGGCGTCCATGGTTTCTGATGAGAAATTCATTGTCATTTAAATGGTTTTCTCTCTGTAGGTAATGTGTTATTTCTCAGTGGTTGCTTTCATTTTTTCTTTGTCTTTAGTTTTCAGAAGTTTGACTATGATGTAACTTGGCATGGATTTCTTTGGATTTATCCTGTATGGGGTTCACTCAGCTTCTTGAATATGTAGGTAGATATGTGTGTGTGTGTGTGTGTGTGTGTGTGTGTGTTGTTAAATTAAGAAAATTTGCAGCCACTATTTCTTCAACTACTTTATTAGCCCCACCCTCTTTTCCTCTCCTTCTGAGACATTAATGACATGAAAATTAGATCTTTTATTATAGTTACACATGGTTTTGAGTCTCTGTTCATTTTTTTCAGTATATTTCCTCTCTGTTGTTCAGAATGGGTAATTTCTATTATTCCATGTTCCATTTCACTGATTCTTTCTTCTATACTTGCATTCTTCTGTTTAGCTCATCCATTAAGATTTTATTTCAGTTATTGCATTTTTTTTTTCCTTTTTGTCTTTTTTCATGACTGGCAATGGATCGCAACCCTCAGTGTCGCGCCTGTACTGGACCGGGACCGGCAACGGGATTGCAACCCTCGGTGTTGCACCCGCACCTCGCTCAGCCAGTGAGCGGCCAGTCCAGTTATTGCATTTTTTAATTCTCAAATTTCCATTCGTTTCTTCTTTATATTTTCTATTTCTTTTCTGAGATGTTCTGTTTTTCCATTTTTTCCAAGTGTTTTTATAATTGCTCATCAAAGCATATTTACAATGGCTGCTTTAGAATCTTTGTCAGATAATTCTAGTGTCTGTGTCACCTTGGTGTTTGTGTCTGTTGATTACTTTTTCTCATTCAATTTGACAAATTCCTGGTTTTTAGCATAAGTGATTTTCATTCGAAACCTGGACATTTTGGGTATTATGTTAGAAGACTCTGGATTTTATTTAAATAAAATTAAAAAAACCTGACACTACTCCAGTGAAGTGAAGTGGGGTGAGAGGTACTGCCTCATTACTTTCAGATGGGGGTATAAGTCCAGGTTCTCTGCTCAGCCTCTTTGGACAGTTGTAGGATAAGAACTCTTTGTTACTGCTGGGCAGAGGTGGGAGTTCAGGTTCCCCACTAGGTAGCCACTAATATCACTCTAACTGGGATGGGGGTACCTCGTTACTGCTCCCCACATGGTTTCCACTGACACTGTGTGTGGATGGAGGGTAGGGGTGCTGCTGCTGAGTAGTGGTGAAAGTTGCTGGAATATTTTTGTCTCTTTCTAGTTGTTGGCTTCTCCAGTATCCAGTCTGGGATATATGAAGCAAAGAGAAAACCCAGGAAATTCACCACCATATCATTCTTTGGGTCCCAAGGTCCCTAACCAGTCTGCCTTTCCTCCACCTTTAAGAGTCTTCTTATGCTTGTTTTATAATGTCCAGGATTTTTAGTTGTAATTAGAAGAAGAAATAGGGAAAAGTACATCTACTTTATCTTCCCAGTGTATTACTGCTTTTTGAAAAATTTATTCTTCACTCTATCTGTTTCCCTGTGGGCCAGCTGCCCCCAGAGTGTGGTGGTGTCAGAGTAAAGACTTCTTAGAAGCTTTCCTCATCATCTGTAGGATTTACATGGCTTTGACTGCTGTCTGGTGCTGCTTCTGAGACACTCACTAACTAGAAGACTGATAAAAGTGGTGAGGTATCAGTCTCAAGGCTTTCCCATGCAATACCACTTTGCACAAGGTATGTTTTTCCTTCCTAATATCTGTGTACTCTTTCCTCAGCCCTTGGGGTCTGCCATCAGTGTAAGTGGTCAGATTCTTCACCATTCATGCCTGTGAGAGAAAGTAGTGAAAACGATAATAACTAGATGGTGTCAGTAAATTATGAATACTTTCAACTTGGCCTATGCATTTTTCAGCAGGCTGGCAGTTCTAATTTGCTTGGGTTGAGTCATTAACATTTTCTGAGAGCGGGGTAGAGGAGAAGTTGTGGAGAAGCCTGTTCTGAAACTGATCTGATATAGAAAATTCATACGCTGAAACAAAGAACTGACCACAGATACTCCAGTGTCCCTTCCAATCTGACTCCAAGCCCACATCCCCTCCATTGTCCCCCTTCCCCACTCTCCAGACCATGTGCCTCTTGATCACCCTCAGAACCATGGAGAAGCAGGGGGTGTGGCCAAGGAGGGTGAAATCGGTTACTGGAGACTTCACTGTGCTTCCCCTTTCACTCTCAGATGCTGCCAGGGTCCCCGAAGAGGGAAGACACAAGGAAACAGGTAAAAAAATCCCATTTTGTTCTTTTTTTGCATTCAGCAAGCAAGTATGGATTAGCTGCTATGTGCTGTCACAACTCCCAGGGCTGGGAACACAGAGGGGACCTCCTTTTCTCTCTTTTCCCTGTGCTACAGTTGTAGACAGACCCCTGCCTTTGAGCATCCCCCCTTGCCGGGCTTGGTGAGTCTTCTGAGAGTAAGACAGATCACTGGATGCCCAGGAGAGAAGGATGGAGTCAGGGAGACTGACTCCAAGGTCCTGCAAGGCCCGAAACAGGCCTGTATTGAGCAAGCCACAGGTCTGGAGAGCATGGCCTTACCCTGAGCCTTTGTGCCTAATGACTGTCACCCCTAGCCTCCATATTCCACTCTGCCTCCTTAGTCTTCCAATTCCCAGGCCTGGAGCCCCACTTCTTAGGCTCCAGAGACTGCCTAGAGCTCCTTGGGAAGCTTGGCTGTAAGCATGCAGCCCGCTCTGGCAGTCTCCCTCTCCCACTCATGCTGGGGTTTGCAAGCCAGGTCCTGGTGAGGGTGTGGCTGGTGGATGCTGGCAGAGGGGGCACAATCAACTGGAGGCTAGTCTTTGCCTCAGGAAATGGAATCTAGTACTTGCCCCAGCCCATGTAGAAACCCTAAGGAGACCTCAAACTGTGTCCCTCAGAACACTTAACCTACAACCCTGCATATTTCTTGTGGAAAATGTAAAATAGATCCCATGACTAAAGAAGTATGGGAAATGTACTGTACCCTAGCCCCCATGTTAGAAGATTTATGATGTATATACAGCTTATTAAAAGGTTTGAAAGTCCCGCAGTAAAAACTCTTGCATTTAGCCCAGCTTTTCTTAGGTAGATGTGACCTTGAAGACTTTCTGTGTGTAACACTGTTAACAACTATTACCATCTGCAAAGCTGATGTCAGCTCTGCCTGGAGAATCTGCCCCAGCTTCAGACCCTCATCCTGGCTCCATGCCCAGGCCTGGCCTGCCCAGCCCCTATGCCTGGGGACAGCACCCCCTTCCTGCTTTCGGCAAGCAGCTTAGCTTTCCCTACACCTGGTACTGGATGCCCACCAGCCCTTGGCATGAGCCATACAGCCTGAGAAGATAAACAGCCAGAGAGGGAGGTGTTGATGCATGGGAATGTTTCAGGGTGGGTGGGAGGGGCTCAGGTCTGTAATGAGACCGGAGACACACTCTATTGGCATATCCTGCTGGCTCCCCGGGGACCAGCATGGAGGTCACAGCTATGTAAATTGGGACTTAAATTTAACTCTATGTAAATGTAACTCCATATAAATGTCTAGGGTGGTGGAGGTCAAGCTCACTGCACACACACACACACACACACACACACACACACACACAGATGGGCAGTGGTTGCAAATTGGCAGTCCTTGGGCTGCCTCCAGCCCACAATAGTTATGTTTGACCAGCACTGTGTATTTTTTTTTTTTTTTTTTTTGAGCAGGACCTTTCATACGAAAATCTGGCTTCTTACTTCTCTTAAAACAGTGGAAGATCAGACAATGTTGAGCCCATGTTTCTGCTTGGCAACAATTGGCTGGAACTGTGATGGCCACCACCTTTAGACAAAACATAACCTTTGTCCCCATTTGATTGATTTGTGTGTCCTACCCAGGCCCTTGGGGCACCTAAGTGGGACCACATTCTCCTAAGACCTTCTAGACCCTTCTAAATGCTCTCCTGGCATCATACTTCATGACTGGTTTTAGAATTACTTTTTTGGGGTCTTTCAAATCAAGGTTTGACTATGTCTCTTCCCTGTGTAAAGTCCTTCATTAGTCATTAGTATCCCCAGGGAGAGCTCCAAGTTACCCATTGTCTGGCATTTGAGGTGCAAGATTTGACCATGTCTCTTCCCTGTGTAAAGTCCTTCATTAGTCATTAGTATCCCCAGGGAGAGCTCCAAGTTACCCATTGTCTGGCATTTGAGGTGCAAGATTTGACCATGTCTCTTCCCTGTGTAAAGTCCTTCATTAGTCATTAGTATCCCCAGGGAGAGCTCCAAGTTACCCAGCGTCTGGCATTTGAGGTGATCAGTGGTCTGATGCCACTCAAAGCCTGAGAGCTGCGTGGGAAATTTAAAAAATTATAGATGCATAAATGGATGGATGGAAGGAAGGAAAGGAAAAAGAGAGATGCTGCCCTATGGGGCTTTCAGGATGAAGGAGAGGCAACGTCATACCCAGAAAAGGCTCCTGAATGCTACATCTCCACGATGCAACCAGACGTAGTCCTCTGGGGATCAGGGAAAAGGGGTCAGAGTTCAGTGAGTGGGCAAGAAAGCCATCTGGAAGATGTAAGCAACCAGATGCTCAAAGACAAACTCTTCCCATCTCCGGCTCCCTCCTAGAAACGACACCATGCATCTCCTCAGTGCCTGGCTCCTGCTTGTGGGTAAGATCTGTGGCCTACATTGGTACTTGGGTTCTGGAATGTTAGTGGGCACTGGAGAAGGAGGAAGGATCTGGGTCAGAGAAGAGTAAATGTGGGGTATGGTGGGGGCAGGCAGCGTGTCTATATAGCTATGTGCAGTATACATGCCTCTCTCTGTGTCTTGCTCTCTGTGTATCTCCCTATCTCTCCCTATCTTCAGAAGGGATTCTTTATTCCTTGAAAGCTCTCCATGCCCCTCAATAATGCTTTCTGTTCACTGTGGTGAGTTCCAGAATACCTGGCTTCCTTGGACTCTGACTGGGAGTTTCAGCACCCCAAAACCCTCTACACCTGGAAGGGGGCCTGCGTCTGGATTCCCTGCAGATACACAGCCCCAAGGAACGAGCAACTGATAAAGTTCACCCTGTACCACAATTCTGAGTATGATGACGTCTCCAAAGCCTTCAAGGGGCTCATCCTCTATGACAACAAAGAGCCTGGAGAGTTCCCTCCTCAGCAGGGAAGGGTACGATTCCTGGGAGACAAAATACACAACTGCTCCCTGAGCATCAACCCGGTGCAGGTAAATGACAGCGGTCAGCTGGGGCTGAGGATGATGTCGGCAAATGACAAATGGTTGGAGGAAATACACCTCAATGTCTCCGGTAAGACCTTGGGGGAAGGGATCTTCTCCTTTGGGAAGAGACAAGGAGGGAGGTGGGAAATACCTGACTGCTGGGACAGCAGTCACAAACTGAGTTGCCTGCAGTGGTCAAGCAGGGCTGCCAGCAGGTGATGTGGGCAAACTGCAGCATGAGCACTTGTCCCACCTCAGGAGCCCCACCTGCCCCTCAGCTCTGCCTACTTGAGCATCTGGGTTCCAGGTTGCCAGATCTTCTGATTTTTCAAGAGAAGATAGAAATCTGGATTTTTCAAGTGAAATGTTCCACATGTTAATGGTTGGTGACTAATTCTAATGAACCCTCCAAGGCTAGATGACAAATGTGTGGAGGTGTTGATATGACCCACCAAACACAGGTCTGGGGCTTCTGCCCTGGGACGTGTGGTCACTCTGTTCCACAGCCTGTTTCTTCGGTGGGTGGTTTTAAGCAGCCCTGTGTTAGGGGCAAGAGCTGCTGCTTCAGACCCTGCGGTGTGAAGGGTGGTCCAGGCCAGGGGGAGAGCTAAGCCTGGCCACACACAGCCCCGCTAAAAGAATGCTGTGCTTGGATGTCTCCAGTATTGAGGCCATTAAAGAAATAAAAGTTTGTCATCAAAGCTAAGAAATACATGTTGAACTAAACTGGTAAAATTCCCTTAGGGGTGGTGGGAGGAACAATCTTGAAAACATTTAGAAAGAAAACATCAGCAAGTGAGAATGAAATGAGTATGTGATTTTTTTTTTTTTTCTTTTTTGGCAGTTGGCAGGTACAGGGATCAAACCCTGGACCTTGGTGTTATCAGCACCACGCTCTAACCAACTGAGCTAACTGGCCAGCCTGAAATAAGTATGAAATACGATTCCCAAGGAGATTTAATGTTGTCCAGGCTGAGCAAAAATGATTCAAAGCAGAGAAAAGCGGGACTGGAGAGGGGTGGGAGGGATTGACGAGGGGTCCCTGAGGGCTTATTTGGGACGGGGCATGTAAACCCAGGTGTAAGAGGCTGTTCACGCACTGGCCCCCAGTCTCCCAGGCCTCCAGCATGGTTCCCACTCTTGCAGAAACGCCACTTCCACCTCACATCCAGCTCCCTCCAGAGATTTGGGAGTTACAGGAAGTCACTGTGACCTGCTCGCTGAATTTCGCCTGCTTTGGGTACCCGATCCAATTGCGGTGGTCCCGGGTGGAGCCTGCTGTCACCTCGACCATCATTACTACCAGTAATGTCCTCACCCAGAGCCAGCTCACGTTCCGGCCGCAGTGGAGTGACCATGGGAAGAACCTGACCTGCCAGCTCTGGAATGACACCAAGGTGCTCTGTGTGGACACAGTGCAGCTGGATGTGAAGCGTGAGTCTCCCCATGCTCCTATGGGAGGGACAAGGCCCTTGTCACCTTCTCCCCAGCCCCACAGTGGGCACCCACTGAGGCTGAGAGGAGCCCACACAAAGGAAGCGTAGTCAGTCTGTGGTCACCAGCTCTGGGAATGACCCACGTAGAGTCGCGTTCCCTTTCCCACAATCCCTCTTGTCAGCCGTGATGCTTCAGGAAACAGATTTATCTTCGCCTCTGCTTTTTGGCTTAGCAAAATAAAATAGTTTATCCTCAAGCCATGACGTGCTTTTGGGATCACCCGGTTAGGCTTCTCTGTTCCCCCTTTGGGGGGAAACTTTCACATCATTATTTGGTGCCTCATTCATTCATTTGATAAATATTTATTGCAAACCTACTAGGTGCCAGGCATTATGACAGCTGCCAGCTGAAGGGAGGGGAGGAAACACAGCCGCACGTCTTGCCCACATGAGCCAGCATTGCAGCAGGGAGGCAAACACTAAAGACAGTAACAAAGACCTACAGAAGATAGTGATAGGTAGTGACAAGGGTGTTAAGAAAACAGTCAAGCAGGGTTCGTAGGGGAGGGGGAGGGACGGGTGGAGACCGCTCTGAGGAAGGTGAGCACTTGAGCTGATTGGAGTGGAGGGAGGGACTGAAGCAGGCAAATTGCCAGAAGAGGATTCCAGGGAGAGGAAAGAGCAAGTCCCTTGAGGTGGGAACTTGGTGTGTCCACGACAGAACAGGAAGGCCAGAGAGGCTGAAGCTCACTGCCTCTGAGGGCCAGATGGTCGCAGAGGAGGTAGGTGAGCACGTGGGGTGCTAGATCTCATGGGCTGCGGTGAGGGCTTTGGATTTTATTCTAAGTGTGGAATCCACTGAATGGTTTCAAGCGGAGAGTGACAAGTCTGCTTGACATTGCTAAGAATCCTGCTGGCTGCTGGTGGACACCAGACGGTAGGGGAAGTGGGAAGAGGGAGTTAGGAGGCTGTGACAGTTACCTGGGTGAATGGACAAGCCCATGCTTGTTGGCAAGGGTAACTGCCACTGCTTTGTAAGAAAAAAAGCATCTGCCCCTTCTCACCACATTCCCCCCTTTGACAATTCTCTGTCCCCTTCCCCACCACTTCTCTGTTCCTCCAGACTCCCCGAAGCTGAAGATCGAGGTCAATCCAAGTGAAACCACTGTAGTAGAGGGGAAGACGGTGACTATGACATGCCAGATCATCAGCAGCAACCCAGAATACCACACTATATCTTGGCTCAAGGACGGGACCCT